CAGTTCTTGGGTTTGGATGTGGTCTTTTGTTTGTTGTAGTTAGGCTCCTTATTGCTTATTTGGGGTGGGGATCCTGAATTGTTTGTCAGTCTTACCCATTATGTTTTTGATACAGTCCTGGAAACACTAGAGTCTCAGGTGACATTGTTCTAACAACAATCCACCTTTACGAATATCATAGACTGTTTGTCTCAGTCAAATCCTTTTATGCTTCTGATTACCATTTCACATCCTTCTCCTTCCCAACCCTTACACATCCCCTCTACTTGGGATACTTCTTCTCATCGATTTCCTTGATGGTGCACCTTCTGTTGCCACCAGTACTGGTGAATACCCAGTGGGTTCGGGTTGGTTGGGAGCTTTGCATTTCAAGTTTCTTTATTGCTGGCATTCTTTTGTTGGCGATCAATGGGTGCTTCAGGTTCTGTCAGTTGGATTCATTGTCCAGTTTCTTTCCCCATATCCCATCTTTCCTCCTCGATATCCCGTGACTAGCCAGCATCTGTCAGAAGTAGTTCGGGAATTACTCTTGTAGCGGGCCATCGAACCTGTTCCCCATCTTCCCAGGGTTTTTATTCTCACCTTTTCATTGTCCCCAAGAAAACCAGGGATTGGCAGCCAGTAATCTATTTATCTCGCCTCAACCATTTTCTTTAACTCCCCCTGTTTACCATGGAGTCTTTTCTCACCGATATCACTTCAGTCTCATCCCAATCTTTGGTTTGTCCATATCAGGGTGGTTTATCAATTTTGGGCCCTCCACTTCGGAAATTGCCTCAGCACCTTGCATATTTTATGGAGTAGTCCGAGCTTTTGCTTGACATCTACATGCTCTGGGGCTGAGAATTCATTATTACATGGATGACTGTGTTCTTCTGGCTAATTCCAAACAGGAATCAGCCAACCATGCTTGGCAGATCCTTTCTGTGGCAGCTCGGGTGGGCTGGTTGATCAAACTGGAGAAGTCCTTCCTCCAACCTACTCAATATCTTATACCTTTGGGGGTCTTTTTCAACACTCATATCAGTCAGGTACAGCCTTCTCCTTTATGGCTTCGTACAATGTAACTGTTGGTTCGCCATACCCTCTTGGCTCAGTTACTTACTGCTTGCGAGGTGCTATCGCATTTGGTCATCAGTGACATCACTGGTCTCCATCTGTCATTCCAACATGAT